AATAATAATAATAATAATAATAATAATAATAATAATAATAATAATAATAATAATAATAATAATAATAATAATAATAATAATAATAATAATAATAATAATAATAATAATAATAATAATAATAATAATAATAATAATAATAATAATAATAATAATAATAATAATAATAATAATAGTGGTTAAGCAAATAATAATAATAATAATAATAATAAATAATAATAATAAATAATAATAATAGGCAGGGATCCCCAGGCCAATACAATTAGTGTGCCTCCTCTATTTTAAAACCCACGAGCCGCCACTGCCCCATGTAGAGTCTTGAGTGAAAACAATTAGTGTCTTCTCAGAAATAAAGGAGGATGTTGTTCAATAACGTTAATAAACAGACTTAAAGGGGTCATATGATGCGATTTCAACTTTCCTTTCTCTTTGGAGTGTTACAAGCTGTTCGTGAATAGATAAGATCCCTAAAGTTGCAAAGACTAAAGTCTCAAACCCAAAGAGATATTCTTTATAAAAGTTAAGACTGGTCCACGCCCTCCTAAAACGCCTCGTTTAAACACGCCCCCACATATCTACAAGCTAAGGTTTGATTTCTGAGTTTATGGTAATGCTTTAAAATAAGATACAAATAAATTCAAATAAATGCTGTGCTTTTTAACTTTCTATTCATCAAAGAATCTTGAAAAAGAAAATGCATCACAGTTTTCACCAAAATATAAAGCAGCACAACTGTTTTCAACATTGATGATAATAAAAAATGTTTCTTGAGCAGCAAATCAGCATATTAGAATGATTTCTGAAGGATCATGTGACACTGAAGACTGGAGTAATGATGCTGAAAATTCAGCTTTGCATCAGAGGAATAAATTACATTTTATATTATATTAAAATAGAAAAGATATTTTATATTGCAATAGTATTTCACAATATTATGGTTTTGATCATATAAATAAATGTAGTCTTGTTGATATTTAATAATATTAAAGTATATAAAAATACTGTTGTTTATTGTTCATTCATGTTTGTTCATAATACATATCATGAACTAATGAGTAATTTATACAACATAAAATGTCAAAAATGTATTAGTATAATACACAAGTTACCAATCTAGAATAATGAATGCTGTTAAAGTACTGTACACTGTACACACCAAATAAACACTGTAAAGTGTTACTAATTTCACTTATTTACTATTATTCTTAAAAACAACAAATATCAAGTACTGATTGCCACAGATATGCTGATTTTTCATGAAAAACATAGTGTCTTGCTCCCTTGGAATCTGTTCCTTGCACAGAATGTGTGGTATTCAATAACCCGGCATCGGTTACAACACCCCTTTCTGCCCTGTCAGTCGTGAGAAAATACACTTGTCATGGCAACTAGGCCGGAATGAGTCAGTCCCACCAGATCAGCTCATCATTGTTATCTTCCACGGTGGACAGAATGGCCGAGGACCATAACTGCACCGCCGCAAATTGGCCACATTGTAAATCTCAGCACTGGCCCATTGACATGGAAATGAGGAGTCAAGTGCCTGGCTTTGGCATTGCTCTGGGCTTCGTGCCATGACCATGCCACCCACTGAGCGTACCAGCCACCTCCACCGAGAGAATGTAGAAATATGTCATCCTTAAAGGCCACCAGCCATAATCTGTTTGCTGAACTGCTTCAAATCCAGGTCAGATAAGACTCTAAGGAGGAAGAAAATCCTCCTACTTTTTTGTTACAGGAGCCGTTCACTGTCAAACTGAATGTCTTTCCTCACAAGGATATGGACAGGCGGCTAGAAATGCAGAGTTTTCCACAATTCCAAGACATACGCACACATAAACTCTACCAGTGCTATTGGTCACAATATGGGTAAAGGTTTGTATAGAGCGACACCAAAAGGTGAAGAGGGAAAATACATGAAATACATCTCAATAATTGTGTACTATATTAAATATCTACTATTTAATTTCCATATGAATTGTACTACAGAATGACATTTATAGTTTTTGAAATATTTAACAAATATTTTTTTAACAGATTTTTCTGTTCATTTTTGAACTCTTGAGAAGGTGCAAATGAGGCAAGGTCAGCGCTCACGTGAGGGGTACCACATTCTTTCACAGTTTCATCTTAAATCACGCGTGAACAAAGAACGATGAACAGGAGGGGAGAGTCAAGCACGTGCAGAACAGAGGGGTGCTGGGACCTAACAAACCATCTCTGCTCACCTGCCCAAGAAAAATCCTTTTAACCTCTGCACAATCTGTTCACTGCTATACTGTAACTACATCACTGACATTGAGTAAGTCATCACAAGCCTAGATGCAATTAGGCTGTCTTGGTTATACAGTCTTTTCCAGTACAAAAGGCAAGATTTAAAAAAAGAAAGAAAGAAAGAAAAGAAAAGAAAATATTAAATAAATAAATAAATAATATTTATTAAGAATATTTTCTTTGGGTAAAAGTATCTGTAATTTACAAATGTAAATGCAAATATAATTTAATAATGTAATATTTAATTATTTGTAATAATTTAAAATCAAAAGCAAGCCTGCTTCTAAAATAATGCTTTTTAGTACATATATAAAGAGAGCGAGAGAAAGAGATACCTGTTTCTTCTTTCATTGTAGACGGCAATTATTTTCAGAATAATAACATATACAGTTATACAACAGATTTTATAAATAATGTTTCATAAAAAAATGTTCAATTTAAATATATATTATAGCTGAAAAGAATTGCTGCACAAAATGTTCTACCTACCCATGCAAAATTACCTATATGTCACTGCGAAACAGAATAACATAAATTTATAAATATTGCAAAAAATTCACGTGTGACAATAAAATCTACTAAAATTTATATAATAAATATTCAAATCTAATCCATTAAAACAAATACATTTTTATAAATAAAAAAAATGTAAAAAAAAATAGATAGATTAAAAACATGATTTTAAAGGAATGACTAATTCTAAAAACAAACAATAGCTAAAGATATCAAAATGAATAGAAATACAGAACAACATTGACTTTGTGCTTATGTAGCAATAAGAACACAATAAGAGGGTGTGATCAACTTTACACTTTGTCCTGGTTATCTCTGGTATGAATGGTATGGGTCTTTTTTACAGGGTTTCTTAACCAAGCATGGTAGGGAATAAGCTATTGTGTTTTCATATGTGTCCACGTGACACCTCTAATAAACTTGGGATGGGGAGGTCACAGGTTGCCAACAGTCAGGTCAGGCAGGAGGTTAGTAGAAAGATGCAAATCATCCATGACTGGCTCCAACTAAATGGAGTTGAAAATAAGGGAAGTCTAAGTTCATTCGCTCTGACAGGCGACAGGAAGGATATCAGACTCGGCATTCCATGAAAACAAGAGGCCATGACAGATGCTCATGAAAGCTGCACTTTATGGAATGAATGGTCTATCAGCTGGTAATTCTATATATCACTTTGTGGAGTAGAAACATGGGATCTCAAAGTTAAAATGTGAATCAAGTCATTTTTATTTTCCTAAAGAATATATGAGTGCCTTCTCAATTTAGTATGCCAAAAATGCAAGAAAAAAAGACTTGCAATTCAGTATGCAAATACTGTGATGTTATTGCTGTCAGTTAAATTTTATTGTGATGAACATTCTAATAAAGTCAATGGGAGATTTTCCAACCTTATCTTGAAAATCTTAATATTCTTTCAAGTTTGACCAATGAATTTCCATGACTTTCCCATGATTTATCCAGTTATTTGAGATAACTGAAAAATAATTTTGATTAAGACTAATTACAAGACCAATTCCAGAGCTTTCTGACAGATTTATGAACCTGCTTAACTGACTCATTGAAATAAACAAACTTGAAAGAACAATTTGCTCAAATGTCAGACATCAACTATGGCTTGTGGGCAAGTTTTAATCTAAACAAGGACAAAATCTAGTCAATAAAATATTTAAGATCAAAGCAAAACTAGAAAAATCTATATTCACTACAGAAACAGCCATTAATTTTCCATGACTTTTATTAACTGCCATGACTTTTACAGACCTGACAAAAAAAATAAATCACAGATGTTTCCAGATTTTCAATGACTATGAGAAACCTGAATAGCACTTAAAGCTGAAATGATCAACAAAACAGTTTGAATGTACTAATGTATTTGTTTTGAATTCATTTCAGAATTTTAACACCTAGTGTTTATAGGTTGAGCCTAAACCAGAACGTTTGCGGAATAGTAATCTTTACAGACATTGAAAACGAAACAAGACATTATGCTTAAAGACACAGCTAAGCTTCTCAAAAGGCCTATTAAACATCTAACCAACACCGGACCCTCACCTCTGTACTGCTGCTCTCCTCCTCTGCCTCATAGCTGTTGCTTCTGGTGGGTGGCAGATTGGTGCTGGAACTTCTTTCTACATGTGCTTGTCTACAGGTTCCTTTCCTCCTTTGTTTCTCCAATCCACCCCCGTTTTGTGTGGAGCTTTGGAAAAACTCTTTGCACTTGGGAAACACGTCATCGCTATCATCATGGAAGACCACATCACGGCCTTCATCTTCAGAAGAGGTCTCACAAGCATCTGAACCTTCATTGGCTTGGACATTCTTGATCAGACCCAAAAAACTGTCATAATCTGCAAAGGTAATGGAGCTGGGCTTGTGTTTGATGATTCGGGGTAGATCAGCCCCCTTGGAGACTGGCAAAGGAGTCGAGTAAGGGTGCTCAATGTGAGATGGTCCCACTGGAGAGGATGCAAAAGAGTAAGCGGGTTCTGATATGGGTCTGACCGTCAAATTAGAAAAAGGATAAGTAGTAGACGAGGTGTTTGAGGAGTCTACATCACAGCTGTTGGTCACTGAACTATCTGAGCGAGTCAAAAAATAGCTGAACCCAGTCTCAGCATCCATTTGGACGTCAGGTTCACAAAAGATGCAATTTAGTTCAGATTTTGGGGTTGATATTGGAGCTGAAGTGCTTTGACGTTCAATGTATTTCTTTGTCTTTTCTTTTGTGAGAAGATTCAAGATTTGAAGACAAGGTCCATCTTTGTTGACAAGCAGTGGTACAATTTGATTGATCTTCTCTGATGAACTTTTATTCTTCAGCTCAAGTTGTGTTTGGTCTTCCAAAGGCTCACCTATAACAGACGATAGTGAATCAGAAGTATCTTTTAAGGTCAGGTTTCTATCCATGGTTGAGTCTGCCATTGAAAGCTCTACTGAGAAAGTCATTTTTGGGGTCTCTTGCAAAGCTGATGACTTCTGTCCTTCTAAAGTCATCATGGGTTGATCATCCATGTTTCAATTTACAGCTTGGAACTAGCCATAAGGAATATCCAGAAGAGTTTTTGTATGATGCCAGAAACTGCCACGTTCATCATGTTCCACCATTTGGACTGAACTGGTTCCTCTGTGCTAATTAGCACTTTGTCAACCATCCTGAAAAGAAAGAACAGAAATTATAATGAGTTTGTTTTAAATGTGTGCATGATTTTTTTCAAGCTAGGTATGTTTACTTAATTAGCATACTTTAGTGTGATTATGTCATTTCACAGACTTAATAAGGAGTTTTATCCAAAGCAATCGTGTTTCAATAACGGTAGTTTTAAACACTTTTTAGATGGTCATTCTGGCCAAGACTAGTTAGACCATCTTAAACCACCAATACACCAAAAGTGGGTTTAAGACATTTTCTTTTCTTTTCAACAAGGAAATTAATGAAAATACATCTCAGCATTGCTTCTTATGGAAAAGCATGAGTATTATTCCAACAAAGACTCAAAAGAAAGCACATTTCATTCAAATGTCTGAATTATTTTTTATATTCTCAGTGGTAATCAACAGTATGCCAAATATGTACAATGTTTGCCCCAGAATATTGCTTTAAATGAGATAAGGATACATTGGAGCATTGCTTTGAATGGGATTTTATGGAAACGTACAGATATATTCATAAAGAGTGACACCCTAGAAAGAGTAGAGAGTCTCACAGAAGCAGAGAAGGGATAACGGAATCCCAAATAGGAAAAGAGGGAATAACAAGGAATCTTGCACAAGTAGAGGAGGGAATAACAGGGGATCTGAGGGGTTGAACATCTGGCTCAGGCTGAGAGCATTCAAGTCTGGATCTGTTGAAGGCACCACGGTGGTGACATCAGTGCTATGAGGAATCCGGCTCTTCGCTCTCCAGTGGCTGATTTACAATTTACCCCGCCATTCATCAGTTGACCTAAATATCCCAGACCAGGCTGTGGTTAGCAACCCTGCTAACCCCCTCATTAACCCCCAACCACACTCCACAAAAACACACATTAAACCACAGGAGGAGCCTGATTGGTGGAGGAAGAAAAAACATTCCTTTCTGACACCATAGTTGAAGAACATCATCTAGAGAGATGAACTGTGAAAGACAAAGATTATTCCTGACAGGATGTTTCAAGGTACTGATAGCGTGAAATCCTGCTACTCATTTGGGATTGGTTGGTTTTGTCTGATTTATTAGTTTAGCATGCAAATTGCATCTTGCAGATCAGATAAGTAGAAATCGTTAAATTACATATAACGGGGTATTACGTTTTTATAAAAATTAGATGTTAGTTTTACATTCATTTGAATGATTATAGTCAAATTTATATTTTAGATGCTTATCACCTTCATTTTAGCACTAAAATAATCAATGTGAGAAACCAAAATGTACAAATATGGCATGCAGTCTCACATATATCATTATTCCCATGTATAGCCTACATTCTAAAAAATGCTGGGTTGTTTCAACCCAACTTTGAGTCAAATATGGACTAACCCAGCAGCTGGGTTAAATTTTTTTAATATTTAACCCAACAGCTGGGTTAGTCCATTTTTTAGAGTGTATAATTAACCCATTTAATCCCACCGGTCACAATAGGGACTTCTGTTAATTGAATAGTTCATTGATAAAGCTCTAAAAACCTTACTGACTGATGTTTTAGAGCACTTCCTGCAAATATGGAAAAAATAAAGGGTCTCATTAATATATGTGCAGTTTCACATGATTAGTGCAAACTGTCACATGACCAGAGCAGTTTATATTCTTTTAAATATCTCCAAAGAGATATTTAGTTAAGAGTCAACCACGCCTACCTAAAACTGCTCGTTCTAACACGCCCCAACATGTCTACGTCACGATTTGCTTAAAAGATTTACCACTGATGATTCAAACGCGAGTTTTGAGCAGTGTAGATTAGTGCTTGTTTGTCATTTCTCCGATCACAAATGCAGACATGGTTTTATGTTTACGCGGCGCGATGCAACGCAGCGTAAAA